AAGGGGCTTCCTGTTGTCTAGGGCTGATCAGGTCCATGGCTAATATATCCTCCCTGTGTAAAAGACAGTAAATCGTCCTTTAATGTATTTAATTCACTAACCTTTTCCATTTGTACTTCTTGTTTCCTTTCTCGTTCCAGTTGCCACTGGTGCCGATTTTCTTGCCACTGCTGTAGTCTTTCTTCTTATTTATTCTCTCGTTCTTCTTGTTTCTTGTCTTTTCCTCCAACAACTGCTGTAATCTTTCTTATTGTTTCTTTCCTTTCTCTTCCAACCACTATTGTATTCTCTTTTCTTGTTTATTTTCTCGTTCTTCTTGTTTCTTTTGCTGTTCTTGTATTGCTGCCATCAAATCTGCTAAGTCATATTTTGATGTGCTACTTCTCGTTTCCATCTTTTTTTTTCTGTCCCACTCTCTGACACCAATTTGTTGCGTATCTGCTTGTTTGTTCATTTCTGGTAGAAATTCTTTCCGAGGAACTTCAGCAATACAAGTCCTTTCTTGATTAAACCAGTTTATTCTTTCTCAATACAAACTTTTAGTACACGGTAATTCCACAGTCAGTACGTTTCTCGTCACTTTAAACTTAAAGACTTTTATAATATACACTATAAGTCACAGCGATTCGCAATCTCGAAAACTTTGCTCTCTATGATTGAAAAACACACATTAGCCCGCATTTCTCTGTGACTATTGTTCGCTTTATCATACATTCATCGCCTCCTGGTGGCTTTTCTTGCGAGGCTTATATACTAACAAAGAAACTTCGCCAAAATTCGAGGAGCTTCCTGATAATTCGAGAAACTCAGTCACGTATGTGCTAGCAGCGTCATGACTTCCGCTGTCATAACAGTGCCTTGTCAGTGAGGTAAAGCATATTTCGCCCCCAGTATTCAAAGATTTTACTAAGAGAATGTGGAGCAGTTCCTGAAACGTTTCTTGACAGTTGACACTGGTTTAATTATATCAAAAGGTGATAAACTGAATTTAGTTCTGGTATTGGATCCTTGAAATGGATGTACTGCAGAAATTATTGGTCAGTTTCCCTAAGCAACAGGTAAACTGAAGTTCCTTGAAACAGTTATCCTATGCTGGCTTGACTAGGCCTAAGAAAACTGGACTTCACAAGTATATGTGGTGGATGAAATCACAATTTTCCATATACTGGTCCTCGTTCATTGAGGCCTAGTGCATTGTTACCATACAATACCAATAAATATAATGTTTCCTGTACAGAAAGCAAGCAGCATTAGCTCACATAGTAATCAGTCCAAAGAAGAATGAAATCCCAGTGTTATTACACAGTTATGTGTATTCAGTTATCAAGTTTCCGAATGTAGTGGTGATCGGCATGTAAACAAACTGGAGGTGTCCAAGAATACCAGTATCATTAGTGCTGCTTCCATCACACTGCAGCTGAGAGCAACTACACAGTTGTGAACATTAATGAAGTTGATGGTTGAGGATTGTGCAACCAATCTAGACTCATTGCAGTAACAGAAGTTCAGTGACTTGGTTGAATATGTCAATGTATTTGTGGAACCAGATGGCTGATTGGTTTGAACAAAAGTAACTCGCTATCACAGATACAGGTCCACACGTCTGACTATATAATCACTACACTATCTTCCCTGGATCACTAAGAACGTAACCATGCTGAAATACAGCAGATGTTAAATGATGGGATCATCCAACCTAAAGAAAGTGCTTGGTCATCTCCGTGGTGATTGTCAGGAAGAAGGAGGGTACTTAAAGGTTATGTGTTGATTTTTAACTACGCTAAGTGTCATTGATGCCTTTCTACTCCCGTAAACAAACTAATGTTTGGACACATTGGAAATAGTCTGTTGGTTCAATACTTTAGACTTGGCATCCAGATATTGGCAACTGGATGACAGGAGTAGACCTAAAACTACTTTTAGCATTTGAGTTGGTCCATACAGTTTTGCATCATGTCATTAAGCCTGTGTACTGTGCTTGCCATTTTTGAGAGACCAATGGAGCTTACACTTAAGGGACTGCAATGGGAAATATGCCTAGCCTATGTTGATGATGTCTTGATGTTTGGCTACATGTTTGAGTTTGCTGCTGAAAACCTGTACACAGTACTTCACTGATAAGAAAAGCAGGCTTGAAGTTAAAACCAAGAAATTATGTACTCATGCAAACAGAGGTGTAATTACTTAATCATACAGTTGGTAGATATGGAAACTCCACTGACTGAAGATCGCAGTAGTATGAGACTGGCCTCACCCTATGACCAAGCAACAAAGTTGCAGTTTCCTTGATTTTGTATCTTATTACCAACAATATGTGACCAACTTCGTTAAAACCACCACACCATTATCTACTCTCCATATGGTTGAAATGCATTTGAGATGGAGTGAGGAATGTGAGAAAGTATTTCTGTCACTAAAGCATACTTTAATAGAAGCTCTTTGTGCTGGCAATGTATTTGTTTTTGAATTTTGCGCAAAGCTACACAAGGGCTATCTGCACTAGCCATCCCTAATTTAGCAGTGTAAGACTAGAAGGAAGGCTGCTAGTCATCACCACCCACCGCCAACTCTTGGGCTACTCTTTTACCAACGAATAGTGGGATTGACCATAACATTATAACGCCCCCACGGCTGAAAGGGCGAGCATGTTTTGTGGGACAGATATTCGAACCCGCAGATTGTGAGTCGAGCTCCCTAACCACCTGGCCATGCCGGGCCCTGGCATAGTGAGCAAGTATTGCTGTCACTAAAGCATACTTTAACAGAAGCTCTTGTGATGGCATATCCATGAAAGAACTACGAGATCTTGCAGTGAAGCAATATTATCACAGCTCCAGGATGAAATAGAGAACATAATCGTGAGAATATAATTTCCCATATTTTATGATGGGAATGGCCAACAGTCATGTGAGTAGTGCACAAACCATGAAAAGACCAGCATTCTTTTTGCGTATCTCATGTTTCCTCAGTTTGGTAGACATTCATTTCAAATGTAACTTATTATTAAACTAGCTGGAGTACCCGTCCTGGATGGAAGTTATGTAATCATGATTAATAAAAGGTTATCTTAGGACATGAAAAGTTGCTTCCCTTATGTGTAATTGTAAAAAATGCAAAAACGCCCATAAAAACTGCAAAACGCAAAATATGAAACCACAAATTTGCATGTATTTCCACATGGACCCAACAAACCTTTATGCCAAATTTGGTGAAGATCCATCAATAGGGGGCAAAGTAATGTTAAAAAATCACAAAACTGAAAATTTGTATCTCCCCATGGCCCTAGTGAACCTCCATACCAAATTTGGTGAAGATTTATCCACAGGAAGTGAGGTAGTGGTAAAAAACGCGAAAACGTCCATAAAAACCACAAAATGCAAAACTGAAAATTTGTATGTACCCCACATGGACCTAATGAACATCCATACCAATTTTGGTGAAGATCCATCCACACCTGCAAATTAGTTACATGAACATACAACAGACATTACTATTATATTTATATAGATACAGAGAGCTCTCTCTCTAGAAAAGGAACCTCAATCGTCCAATACACATGCTTTGATTGCTTTTGAGTGAATAAAGTTTTATTTTGTCATGAACTGTGTCCAGTCTCTGTTATTCTTCAAACTCAATCAAAGTCATAGAATTCAGATTTGTTCAATGCTATATTTCCTGATCAAAACTTCTGTTATTCTGCAGAACCAATCTTTTCATTTCTGGAGAGAATCAATTACTAAATACCTAACTTTTGACACATTAAGTAACCAACCCTCATATCTACTTACTTAATTAACCAATGCTCATACCTATGTACCATCTACCTTATGACTAACCAACTTACAACAGAAACAGCTTCAGATATAAGGCAGGTGGCAGCACTGCCTATGTAGGGATGGATGGCTCAGATTGTTCATCAAAATGGTATTTTAAATATCTCTTCAATAGGTCATCAGAACTTTACAATATTATAGTTTTTTTTTTTATAACAATATGTGTGTCATGACTGAGTCACAAGTTCTGGGAATGTCTGTAAATATTATAGCAAAAAGTTTGAATTTCTTGTTCTTCTTTCTTCTGCTTCTTTTTATTACATGATAACTCAAAAACCTAAACAATGGTGTGGGGTATTCACCGAGATGACAGTTTCAAATGGATTATCCATGTTTATTAGCATTATTAACTAGTAGCAATTAAAAAAAACATAATTCTAGTGCAAACAATGTTATTATTACCCCTTGAAACTAGCTTTCTTACAGAAATTTGGTGTTCCTTTAAAAAGTTTAAGTACAGGTTGAAACAGGAATTACCAGCCAATAACAGGTATACAATAAATGTTACAGTTGGAACCTCACTGTGTTTACAACTTAGTTATAAATACAATCTTCCTATGTCCTTTGAAACACTGCATTAAAAAACAACAACAAGCAAACATGTAAGGAAAAACTTTTCAAAGAAAGAAGTAAATGTAGGGATGGCTAATATCAATCCTTCAAAAACAAATCAAACAAGATAGTAGGGATAACATTTGCAACATCCCTACATAATAGTGCAGGCAAGAATTAACATATAGCAATATATATATATATATATATATAAAATCAGAATTGAGTATAATTTATCCTATTTTTGGCTGTTAACATTCTACTACACTGTGTGCCTGTGCTATTATATAGGAATGAGGCAAATGCCATCCCTACATTTACTTCCTTT